AATCCTCAAGCAAAGGGAAAAAAAGATAAAAATTACCAATATCAAGAATGAAATAAAATAGATCTCACCCTGCAGACTTCTAACAACTACACACAAATAAGCTAAAGGAAATGGATTTACATTTCTATGGATTCTACAAAAAGCCAAACTACCAAAACAAATCCAATATGAAACAGATCGTTTCAATCGCTCTATAACCATGAAGGAAATTGAACTTATAATTTTAAAACTTCTAAGAATGAAATCTACAGACATAAACTGTTCCAAATGATTCTATTAAATATCTAAAAAAAATTAACACCAATTCTATATAATCTCTTCCAAAAAATAAAAGGGGAAAAATAACCTAATAAATAAATTCAGGATATAAAACCACTACATAAAAAGTAGTTGCATTTATATACACTAGTTATAAACATCTGAAAATGAAACTAACAATGCATTTACAAAAGAGCAAACTACTTAGCAATAAATTTAAACAAAGAAGCATAAGACTTGTACACCTCACAATACCTGGCAATTTTTTTCTTCTTTTAAAGAGACAGGGTCTCACTCTTGCTCAAGCTGGTCTCAAACTCCTGAGCTCAGACAATCCACCCACCTCGGCCTTCCAGAGTGCTAGGATTATAAGTCTGAGCCACCACATCTGGCCAGAAAAACTTTTAAATTAGCTGGGTGAAGTGGTCTTTGCCTGTAATCTAGCTACTCGGAAGGCTCGGGCAGGAGGAGCACTTAAGCTCAGGAGTTCAAGGCTGCTTTGAGCTATAAACACATCACTATACTCCAGACTCTATCTCTAAAAAAAAAAAATTATATACACACACACACACACATACACTAGGAAAATAATAACACATTGAAAATGCTAGATAAAATTTTATATAAAGTGCTTTCAGGAGATAATATAAAAGGAATATGAGCTACAGATTATAGAGGGAAAGAACATTAACTCTACCATAAAGGGCTCACTCATGGTACATAAAGCTCCTACTTCTCATGTAAAATACACCTAAAAGCTTTAAAAGCTTGCACCAATATATGTAAGATGTGTACAGGTGCTAATTATAATATGGCTTCACCTATTTTTACTGGCGGATTAACCATGCAAAGTAACCGTTGAGCACCAAGCAAAGATTAGATAATAAGAGCATGAAGTCAGCAATAAGAACCTACTGTGTCTGGCTGCTGATTCACTTTTTTATCTTCTAAATCCTTGAATTTTGATCGAAAAGAGACCATTTTCTCCTGAAGTTCTGGTGTACACAGTTCATACACATCCAACATAAGAGGAAATTTAACATCCTATGTGCAAACCAAAAAGAAGAAACAGGTATAAACACACTTACTGTTATTAAAATGCCTATGACATGTTTAAAGTAATAATTTCATAATACAAATAAAGCTGAAAATAAAATCTAAGAAAAGCACTTGGATATCTGCAGCTGAAACCTCTTCATGCATAAACATGCAACAAGTCTTCAAGAACAACTTGAAGGCAAGAAATTTTCAAATATGTTTATCCATGAAATATTCCAAACTCATAGAACTTAGCACAGAGAAGGGACCAAAATTTACATGACAGAAGAAATATTTCCAAAATACTAGACAAGTTCCTGTGAAAATAATGTGTCTCTAAAATGAGTTTACAAATTTTTTTTCCCATTTGAAATACAATTTTACACAGAAATAATTGTGCTATATGTGTAAAGTTCAATAATATATTAATAAATATTTAAAGTAAACCCTTTCAGATATTTAAACTAAATTTAACCTTCCCATATAACACAAAGAATACTGGAAAATGTACTATGAAATTCACCTCAATAAACATGCATCAAAGGCTGGGCCCAGTGGCTCATGCCTGTAACCCTAGAATGCTAGGAGGCTGAGAAGAGTTTAAGGCCAGCCTGAGCAAGAGGGAGATCTCGCCTCTAAAACTAGCCTGGAGTTGTGGTGGGCACCAGTAGTTCCAGCTACTTGGGAGGCTGAGACAAGAGAATCGCTTGAGTCCAAGAGTTTGAGGTTTCTGTGAGCTGTGACGCCATCGCACTCTACCGAGGGTGACAAAATGAGACTCTGTCTCAAAATAAATAAATAAATAAGCAACAGAGCTACAGCACCACACAAACAAATCATTAGGCTGGTTCCTAAATCAAGACATTACAATTTTTTTCTTTTTTTTTTGAGACAGAGTCTCACTTTGTGACCCTCAGTAGAGTGCCATGGTGTCATAGCTCACAGCAACCTCAAACTCCTGGGACCAAGCAATTCTCTTGTCTCAGCCTCCCAAGTAGCTGAGACTACAGGCACCCACCACAATGCCTAGGTATTTTTAGAGACGGGGTCTTGCTGTTGCTCAGGCTGGTCTTGAGCTCATGAGCCAAAGCAATCCACCTGCCTCGGCCTCCCAGTGTACTAGTATTACAGGCATGAGCAACCAGGCCCGCCTCTAAGACATTATAATTTACGTAGTCTTTGGGCACCAGTAATTTAATTCTCTCTCCTTTTACTTAGAAGAAAGGTACCACCTACAACAGAGCAGTGTGTCATACTGCCTCCTACCTACCTGCTCTCATCCCCAGACCCAAATCAGTATCTCTGAAGCTGAGGAGCTGGTCTGGGGCAGTATTTCCATAGCGTACAGAAGATCCATCAGAACAATTTCTCAATCTTCTGAAATATGTAATACCCTAGGCTCCACCCAATACTTAATTAGATGTTTGGGGCTGAAAGGGAGAAGCCAGGTGCCGAGTACAATTAGAAAGGATAACAGGCCAGGTGGCTCCTGCCTATAATCCTAGCACTCTGGGAGGCTGAGGCAGGTGGATTGCTTGAGCTCAGGAGTCTGAGACCAGCCTGAGCAAGAGCAAAACCCCCATCTCTACTAAAAATAGGAAAACTAGCTGGGCATTGGGGCAGGTGCCTATAGTAACCCAGCTACTTGGGAAGCTGAGGCATGAAGATGGCCTGAGCCCAGGAGTTTGAGGTTGCTGTGAGCTATGATGCTATGGCACTCTACCCCAGGTGACAGAGTTAGACTTGACCCCCCCACCTCCCCCAAAAAGAACAATGGACAATTCTAACATACATTCTTGCTTAAGAATCACTTGTCTAATGTTTTTTGACTCCTCTATACACTTCAAAGAAAGCTTAACTCTGCAAAGGAATAAAGAAACCCATTATAAGTCAGACACTGCCTTCAAAGAATTATAAACAAACTGAAGTTCATTACTAACCTTTAGAACTTTGGCATTCACAGACTCCTTCTCCTTATAAAAAAAGCGAACCATTTGAATGGTCAAGTAAGCAGGTAGCCGACTGATCTTGGACTGTAGAAAGAAAAATGGAAAGAAATTCTTTCACATCCAAATATCACGCAATTTATTAAATTCTTTAGTGGTATAAACAAAGACTAAGTAAAATTAGTTAACTGGAAATATCAATGAAACAAAATTCAATTTCAAAAGAACTACACAACTTACAGATTTGATATACAAAGCATTTCTTTGTAACGTTGGAGACTGTTTGGTGATTTCTTCCTGAAGTCGCTAAAAAAGAACATTAGCAAAAGATCAAACATTAGTTTTGTTTGTTTGGTTTTTTAGAGCCAGAGTATTATTGTGTCACCCCAGAGCTAGAGTACTGGCATTACCATAGCTCTTGGCAACCTCAAACTGATGGGCTCAAACAATCGTCTTGCCTTGGCCTTCCAAGTAGCTGGGACTACAGGTGTGCACCAACACACTCTGCTAGTTTTTCTGTTTTTTATAAAGATGGGGTCTCTTTC